GACCGCACGTCGGTCGGGACGCGGGACAAACAAGGAAATATCGGGACGGGCACGATAAAATCGGGACGTCTGGTCACCCTAGATACTGGGTTTGTGGAGGCCCTGTTATACTTGTCTCTTATTTGTACTGTCGAGTGCCAGCACAACTGAGAGGCTGGGGCAAAAAATTGCACTTCCTGTTTGCAGTCCTTCTCCTCCCCACAAACTTCATGCCTGTATACCGCAGCAAGTTTCAATTCATGCTCTTAGCTCTAGAAGGGGAAAATGTAACCACCCCTCAATGCAAAATGGGAAAAAGTCTTATAGTTTTTTCATTAAACATAGGTGAAAATCCAGGCAATGATTGGAATAAATGAGATTTGAATAGGACCCCTACATTTCAAAGGCTGAAAGTGGTTGAGAGAGATTTCTGCTTGTCAGAATGCTTCATTTAAACTGGTGTTATAAGTTGTATCAGACTCCACAGCATCAAAGTGTTCTGAATTGCTGTTTACAATTTGTATAGCTATTTCTTCTATCCAAACTTAAGCGTGGAGACCATAAAAATGATGAATGTGGAATACATACTCTAACTAAACAGGAAATTCTGACAGCAGAACACTTCCCAAATCAGGAGAAAAAAAATTATCTCCCAGCTGGATTCCTCAGTAAGGGGATATCATAATGGGTTTCAAGGAATGATACCAATAATGGACAAAGAAGAAATATTAACATGATTGAGGTGCACAGTGTATTGACAATTAGGAACTTATGATAAGTGGATCAAATACATGCAATTTGCCCTACTTGAAATCCATAGCTTTCCAGTTAATTTCTTCTAGCCTCTCTCTTAATGAGATAGTGTTTATTCCTAAAACAGATTTGGAAAGTGGGTATTTTGCTATTAATGATTTAGTTATAATAATTTTTTAAGTGTTCAGCCTTCCTGTATAAATGGCAAGGGTTGGAGGAGAAAGAGGAGTATGAGTTTTGGACAAAAGTTTAATGCGACTCTTCCTGAAAGAGAAAGAAACCTCTTCGTAGATAAACTCAGCTAAACTCCGTCAAAGCACAGGAGGAAAAACTATTCTCTCTTAACTCGAGTATTGATTATGGTTATGTTTTTGTGTTGAAATGCTGAAACACCATCACCTGGGGGATATATCAGTGCAATGCAACTTGGTTATCAGTATTTTAAGTAGCTCTCTTGGTGCTATGATTCCTGTTAGAATTCAATTGACTAATTTATATTGTAGCAGAGAGTGGCTCTCTCTGACCTTGTCTACTCTAGATTTATTGCCATAAAATTTCTCACTGTCTCTGTCAATGGTGTAGCTCCACTGGTGGCAGCAATGCTTAGAATACAGGGCTATCTAGTCAGTGGGTATTTTAACCACAGGGTCACCTAGACCTGCTCTGTGCAGGGTAAGACAAGGTGGTGATTAAAACATTGATGACTCCCAATATTGTTACCCCACAGGCGGAGCTGCATCAATAAGAGCAATATGGGAAATGCTATAAAACAGGGGTGGCCAAACTTACTGACCCCCCGAGCCACATACGACTGTCTTCAGAAGTTCAAAAGCTGGGAGGAGCCTGCCAGGGCTTGGGGCTTCAGCCCTGGGGGGGATGCCTGCCAGGCCTCAGGGCCTCAGCCCTCCAGGGAAGGGGGTCTCGCGGCCTCAGCCCTGTGGGAGGCACCTGCTGGGGTTCGGGGTGCCCCACAGGGATGAAGACCTGAGCCCCGGCAGGCGCGCCTGGCAGGGCTGAAGCCCCGAGACCCTCCTCCCCGCTGGGCAGGCAAAGGCAATGCATGGGGGGGACACATGGGGATTTTTGCCAGGGTTTGCTGTCTCTGCTCGCTCACATGATGCCATCGGGCCCCCTCCCTGCATGGTAGTTGCTGGAACTGGCAAGCTGGGAGCTGCGGTTGTGGAGAGAGGCAGTGGCAAACAGCTGGGAGCAGCAGGGAGAGCCACTCCTTTTGCTGCTGCCTCTCCCCACGGAGCTAAAGCAGTGGCCCCAACTTGCAGCTGTTTGCTTCACAGGGAGCTAACATCTGGGAGCTGCAGGGAGGGGCCATTGAAGGTAAGACAGGGGTATGCTGGGGAAGAGGGGGACGTGACTCCAGCTGTTTAGGGGATAACTTTAAATTGTGCCCCCCCCACACTCTAAACAGGCACCAGTCATCTCTGTTAGCCCCACCATCCCACCGCAGGGCAGAAGCCCCTAGCTTCCTCCCTGGTAGGCAGAGAATGGGGGGTGGGGTGGGAAGGAGGGGCTCTGAGAGCCACACTTTAACTGCAAAACAGATGCAGTTTGGCCACCCCTGCTGCAAAAGAAAGAAAGCATACAGATGGCCTAGGATGTGTAAACTGTTGTGACTAGGCATGTAAGCACAGCAGTGATGGGTTGCTGCTGGGATGGCTCAGTCTTCAATATTTCTGTGCAAAATATTCTTGAAACCAACTGTGCAAGTCTTTCACAGTGATGTCTTGTGCATGTGTGTGGTGCACCTCTTTCCTCTCCTTCCATGATACTAGCGCTGAATCCAGATTTTGCAGGTGCCCCTTGCATTTGTGCCAGAGCAGGCCAAAACTTCATATCTGAATACCCCCAAATGTTGAGTGATCAAAATTCAGTTTTAAATCATAGAAATGCAGTGCTGGAAGGCACTCTGACAGGTCAACTAGTCCATCCCCACCGCACTGAGGTAGGACCAAGTATACCTAGACCATCCCTGACTTTGGTTAGCCTGTGCTTCAAAACCTCCAATGGTGGGGATTCCACAGCCTCCCTTAGAAGCCTATTCCAGATCTTAACTATCTTTGTAGTTAGAACATATTTTCCTAATATCTAACCTAAATCTCCCCTGCTATAGATTAAGCCCATGACTTCTTGTCCTGCCTTCAGTGGACATGGAGGACAATTGATCACTGTCTTCTTTACAACAACCTGTAAGATATTTGAAGACTATTATCAGATTATGGGTTTGTTACAGAAGTGGGTGGGTGAGATTCTGTGGCCTGTGATATGTAGGAGGTCAGACTAGATGATCACAATGGTCCCTTTTGGCCTTAAAGTCTTTGAGTATATCTACACTACCCACTGGATCGGCGGGCAGCAATTGATCCAGCGGGGGTCGATTTATCGCGTCTAGTCTAGATGCGATAAATTGATCCCCGAGTGCTCTCCCGTCGACTCCTGTACTCCACCGCCGCGAGAGGCGCAAGCGGAGTCGACGGGGGAGCAGCAGCAGTCTACTCACCGTGGTGAAGACACCACGGTAAGTCGATCTAAGTACGTCGACTTCAGCTATGTTATTCACATAGCTGAAGTTGCGAAACTTAGATCGATTTCCCTGCCCCCGCCCCCCCACTCAGTCTTCTTTTCTCAAGACTCAACCTTTCCTTATTGGTCAGGTTTTCTAAACCTTTTATTATATATGTTGCTCTTCTCTAGACTCTATCCAGTTTGTCCACGGCTTTTCTTTAAAGTGTGATGCCCAAAACTGGACACATTACTTCAGCTGAGGCCTCACCAGTGCTGAGTACAGCAGGACAGTTACCTCCTGTGTCTTATATATGACACTCCTATTACTAAACCCCAAAATGATACTAGCCTTTTTCCACAAATGTATCACATTATTGACTCACATTCAATTTGTAATCCACTATAAAATCCAGATCCTTTTCAGGAGTACTACCACCTAGCCAGTTATTCCCCATTTTGTAGCTAGGCATTCAATATTTCCTTCCTAAGTGTAGTGCTTTTTACTTGTCTTTATTGAATTCCATCATGTTGAGTTCAGACCAATTCTCCAATTTATCAAGGTCATTTTGAATTCAAATCCTGCCCTTCAATCAAAGTGCTTCCAGTGTATCCCAGCTTGGTGCAATCCATAAATTTTATATGCATACTATCCACTTAATTATCCAAATCATTAACAAAAATATTAAATGGTATTAGACCCAGGACAGATCCCTGTGGGACCCCGCTAGATACATCTCCCCAGTTTGACAGCAAACCATTGATAACTGCTTTTTCAGTATGTTTTTTTAACCAGTTGTGCATCCACCCTGTAGTAATTTAATCTATACCACATTTCCCTAGTTTGATTATGAGACTGTCATGTGAGACCGTGTCTAAAACTGTACTAAAATCAAGATATATCACATCTTCTGCTTCCCCTCTCCCCCATCCATTAGGCCAGTAACCCTTCTCAAAGAAGGAAATTAATTTGGCTTGGCATGCTTTGTTCTTGACAAATCCATGTTGGCTATTACATATCACCCTATCATCCTCTAGGTGCTTACAAATTGGTCGTTTAATATTTTTTTCCAGTATCTTTCCAGGTATCGAAGCTAGGCTGACTGGTCTATAATTCCTTGGGTGGTCTTTGTTCCCCTTTTTAAAGATAGGTATTATATTTGCCTTTCTCCTGCCCTGTGGGATCTCACCTGTCCTCCACGAGTTCTCAAAGATAATCCCTAATGGTTCTGAGATTTTCAGCTAGTTTCTTAAGTACCCTATGGTGAATTTCATCAGGTCCTGCTGACTTAACATCTAACTTATCTAAATATTCTTTAACATGTTCTTTCCTTATGCTGGCTTGTATTCCTTCCTCCAAGTTGTTAATATTAATTGTGTTAAGTGTCTGGTCACAATTAACCTTTTTAGTGACGACTGAAGCAAAATAGGCATTAAACACCTCAGCCTTCTTGATGTCATTTGTTATTAGCTCTCCTTTTCCACTAAGCAGTGGACCTACACTTTCCTTCATCTTTCTCTTGTTCCTAATGTATTTATAGAATCTCTTCTTATTGTCTTTCATGTCTCCTGCTAGGTGTAACTTATTTTGTCCCTTAGCTTTTCTGATTTTGTCCCTACATGCTTGTGCTATTCCTTTGTACTCATCCTTAGCAATTTGTCCATATTTTTTGTAGGATTCATTTTTGATTTGCAGGGAATTAAAGAGCCCCTGATTCAGCCACATTGGCTTCTTACTCTTCTTTCTTTCTTTCCTTCCTTCACAACAGGATAGTTTGCTGCTGTGGTATGATATTGTGGTTTGGAACCTTCTCTGGTAATACCCCTTTGGGATTATGTTTCCAGTCAGCTACTTTACAGCTACGATGGAGTGGTAGTCTTGGAGTAGATTGCTCTTACAGGATGTAGTGGAGGCCAAGTTCTCCAATGCGACTGAGGAATATTTGATAGTTAACACCCTGGTGACAAATCTGTGTTCCTGCTGTCAGGCGGCTCAGGAAGGACACAGACCCAGTTCCAATTTAAAATATTAAGTGATAAGATGGCTAGAAATGAAACCTGCTCCCTCCAATAAAAAATTGATTAAAAAAAAAATATCCTTGAGGGAAACAAACAAACGTCAAAGGAGAACAGATAAACGTTAGCTGAAGTCAATAAAATGGTACATGTAATCTGAATGCTTGAGTAATAATTAGTACGAAAAAAACAATAGAGCAGACAGCACTCACTTGGGTTATGAACAAAAAATGCAAACCAACTTTAGCCAGAGAGGGGATAAGAGGAATGCAAACCCCATTCAGATATACAAAAACCTGCTGGGGAGGGGGGGATGGATTAGGCAAACCTAATCCTTCAAACTCCACAGAAACCCTAAACACAGATTGTAGGGCTGTAGCCGTCCACTCCCCTGCTGCTTGCCGGCGGGAAGAGATGTTGCACAGAGCATTCTCTCCTTCCGTGCCCAGACTTGTAATCTGGATAAGCAAGTACCAAGTACTTTTTCTTGTAGAAAGCTCTAGTTCTTTAATTACACAAGTAGTCAAGACTAGAGCTGTGTGAATGGTTTGCCTCAAACCACAAAACTACTCAAAACTATCCTTGGTTTGGGTTTGAGCTGTGTCTATGAACCAGCAGTGGTTTGATCACATTTTGTTTGAATCCACAAACTGTCCATGAGCTTCTTGTGAACTTCCCCTCCCTTACATTTGGATATCCATGAACTTATCTTGAATCTAGTCCCTAAACTAATGTTTGACAGGAAAAAGAAATTTTGCAGGTACGGGGGGAAAAGCAGCACTGTATTTTACTAAAATAAATAGTGATTCAGATTTTGTTCAAATCTGGGTTTCATAAAAATGAATTTCATTTTTTAAATACATTTTGGATGTGGGATCTGACATGAATTGTGGATTACTCAGAGACGCAGATATTGATTCCCAAAATCTTGATTTAGCTGTAATTGTCAACCCCAAATAGTAAAAGACTGAAAGTAGATTATGTCAATTAACTTCTGCCACATATTTGCTGATTTGAAAAACAATTCAGCGATATTCAATTTCCAGGGAGCATTTCTAACAATGGGCAAGCAGCACAACTCCCCACCTAAGGCCAGTATGGGGGTGTGCAAACAAATTAACAAAAGTTGTGGTCAGCGTCCTCTGCATTAAAATAAGCTTCTTAATAATATATTTCTCTGTCATCCAACTTCTTATTTCTAAATCACGTAGGTCCCTCTCTTGAAAGGAGTTATGTATAGAGCTGCACTAATTGCAGTGGGCTCTGGGTGGGTGCAGTGGTTGATCAGTATAGAGCTCATTGCATGATCAGGCCTTTAGTAATCGTCTAAGGTTTTGAATGGCATTGATAAAATACTTGCCTTGGCATCTGCTTCTCCATTTCTAAAAGTTGTAGTTTGGCTCTTGATTATTCCCTGCATCATTAGCTCCTCAAGGATATCTGATGACTTTTGTCTCTCCCGTTCCTGTAAGTGCATCGGTTTATTGACAAATCCACCACTGAGTAACATGATGTCTTTAAAAAGAAAATGTTTAAAATTATTACTCACACAGAGCCGAGATCAATTCACCAATTTAATTTCAATGTCACTTCCAATCCTGTAACTTCTCCATGTATTTATTTACAGAGGGTGCCCAATGCACACCCTATGCATCACTTAAACTCTGCATTAAGGTTTTAAGTGGTCTTAACTGATGCACTGGCTTTGTGCTGGCCGCCTGCATGGGATGAATCCCACACTGTGGCTTCTTAGGCCAACATTCAGGAAAGCACTTGCACTTGAGGATATGCTGAGGTCCCATGGAAGTCAATATTTACATGCTGTCCAGAACCGGGCCTTAGTGAGTCTTTGTAATTCAGATTTTAAAAGATTCATTGAGCCAGTTAGAGAACTCTACTATTTTTGGATGATATTAGGTTATCCATTAACAATGAGCTTTCTATAGACCAGTGGTTCCCAAACTTGTTCCGCCGCTTGTGAAGGGAAAGCCAGTACGTCCCTCGGCCCGCGCCGCTTCCAGCAGCTCCCATTGGCCTGGAGCAGCGAACCGCGGCCACTGGGAACCGCGATCGGCTGAACCTGCAGACGCGGCAGGTAAACAAACCAGCCCGGCCCGCCAGGGGCTTTCCCTACATAAGCGGCAGAACAAGTTTGGGAACCACTGCGACCATTGCACTTTAGAAATGGAAACAAAAACCTTTCATATGCTTCCATGACCTATAGTTGGTTGTAAGAAAGTGTATACCCTTGCGCTTGATTACATTTGTTTTCTGCACTAATTATATATTTATAAACAGCAATTAAGAATAAAAAATTATTTTGATAACCCTTCTAAGCTGCCATTAGGTTTCCACACATTAGACATGAACGATAATCAAGGGACACTTTGTTGCCAAGATAGATCAGGTTTGCAGCCCTTGGTTTGCAATTACACAATCTACATTAGCAAAAGTGAGGGCTTGTGTGAGATGATGACTTGGACCACATCAGAATGACAGTTATTTGACATCTGTCACTTTTTCATGAGTGGTGTGAAAATCCAATTGATGTATTTTATTGTGAGAAAACAAGAACAGTAAGCCTGGATAGGGTTAGTTTTTCTGAATATTGAGATCATACCTGCCCAAAGATGACTTTACTAGTCATCTGTAGCTGTCACCCAAAAATCATAGGGGGCCAGCCTTCCAACCAGCATCCAAAAATATGCCAGCAAAAACAGGCTTATGTGCTCACAGACTAAGTGTGCTAAAAGGATATGTACCCTTTCAAGTTAAGGAAGGGCCATATTGGGTAATGCCCATTTAAAATTAACATTTTCCCAGCAATGAGTTAGCCACTCCCAACTTCCTTTTGAAGACCCTTTGTGAACTGTAATCTCAAAAGTATCATTGGTCTTTTAGTCTCTTTTACTTTATATTTCTACATGAGTGACACTCTATGAATAGCTTAGCAATTTTTGGCTGGTAAGTTTGCAGGCACACATGTGCAGGTAAGAAAAATCCTTTGCCAGCATGCTGTTGTATATATGTGAGCATACTCAATACTGTGTGTGAAAAACAAGCATGCATTTGTGTGTCCAGCAAACTTTCTGGAATGCAGGACCTTGATGTCTTGGGAACATAGATTATATTTTGCTTTTCTGTAGCAAAAAATTAGGAAATGTGTATAATGCTCATTATAGTAGGCCCCACAAAAGTATTTTAAATATAGCAAGAATAATGACAAAAGATGTAATCACATTGACATTTTCTCAACATATTTCACTTACTACTGTGATCAAAACTATGATTCATTATGTAAAATATAAAGCAATGTTTAATTGTATGATTTCCACAGAGTGGAGAGAGGGGCAAATATGAAGTTAAACATAACCAAAAAATGATATTTATCACAAAATATGACTTAAAATTATTAGTACCACAATCCATATTTATAAAGCACTCATCCCTCAGAGTATGAATGCTAGTAATAATCCTTTGTGCTTACATAGCAGTTTTCTATTGAGTATTTTCAGTGAGGGCAGATAAAGTTTGCTGTAACGACTTTGACTTACATATTTCCTTAACTCCGTGTGTGTGTGTGTGTGTGTGTGTGTGTGTGTAAAAAACATGTTACCCCAAAACACAATTTTACCCATTTAGATTGATTAATCTAGCTCTATATTTTACACACAACGTTCTCAGGCAAATACAGCTGTTTAATTTTAATGTGGAGGAAATCAGGAGACATGGGAATGGAATTTAAGTTGTTTTTAAAAAGCAGCAAATTCTAGTATTTATTCCTTTAATGTTCACTTGGAAACACTGTTTTATTACAGACCTTGCTTGTAAAAAGAACAGTTCCTTTAGACTTTCAGTTTGACTAAGTATGTTTATGAAATTCAAACCATTCTTAGTATACCTCTACCCCAATATAACCTGATCCGATATAACATGAATTCGGATATAATGCGGTAAAGCAGTGCTCGGGGGGGGGGGGGGGGGGGGAGGGTGAGCGGGGCTGCGCACTCCGGTGGATCAAAGCAAATTCGATATAATGCAGTTTCACCTATAACACGGTAAGATTTTTTTGGCTCCCGAGGACAGCGTTATATCGAGGTAGAGGTGTATTTAGAAGACAGGCAAATACGGGATTTAAACAGCAAGATAAGGGTTTTAATGTGTACCAAAGTCTGCTGTTAGTTTAGCAACTCTTACCACTGCTAAAGTATCTTAAACTTATACAAGGATCAAAGCTGAATGTTCCCTTTTGCACTTACACAGTCTGGGGTAGATCCTTAGCTGGTGTAAAAAATTACGTAGCTTTATTGCCTTCGCTGGAGCTATGACAGTTTTCACCAGCAGAGGATCTGCCCCTAAATATTTATTTCCATTTTGTTCCTTAATTTTAATGTGAATTTAGTGCATGTGAAAGGCCAAATTACTCCCCTGTTTAGCCACAAAACAGGAACAACACTGGCAGGGTCAATGCCAATATGTCACAACCCTGATTGGAAGGGTGGGACCTTTTGTAGGGGCAACGTGGGAGTTCATTCTCCACGGTCCATTCAACAAGCCTACCAACAAGGGTGAAAATTACTGTCTATTACGATTGTGAGAATTGAGTCACACAGAGTTAAAACCAGTAATTGGATATTACTGACTTGGGCCAAATTTGAACAACTGATTAGGGAGCGCAGCCCTGCGAATACTTGGAGTCAATGGGACATTACATTGTACTGTGTAGTAACTGTTTGCAGCACTGGGCTCAAAGGGGTGAATGGCTCTGTATCTTCTTCCTTTTGGTTGCTATGAGGTTTTCGGTTGTTTACCTGTGTTTTGCCCATTATTTTTTTCTCTAGGAGAAGGTGACCTTTCTGGACTTTCCCGGGGTGAATTTCCCCCACTGAGTTCATCTTCAAGTTTTACTCCACTGCCTTTTGACACAGTGGACCCATCCCGAAGGGTAGAGCCAGCTGCTCTCTGAGACGGGTCATTATTAGCCTGCGAGAAAAAGAAATAAATACATGAGAAAGACACTTGGGGAAATGTAACCCCATTTATAAGCAGACAGTTTCTAAAATAGCTCCATAAAAGTGTCAGGCTTAGAGCGGAGCAGAACATAGCTTTGCACATCTGTGCTGCTCCCGAAATGTCCTGACAGTGAGCCACATTTTCTCATAGATTATCGGCTATAATAACGAAATGAAGAAGAATTTCAAGAACGGAAGCAGTGACCTCACACTTGGCTGTGTCCTTGATCACATTAAAAGGTAAAGTCTTGAAACCATTCTAAATGAAGCTTTGTTTGGAACTATGTAGGAAAATGTGACCACAATAAACATTCAGGAGTCTTAAATTATTACTTACTAAGGATCCCATCCTACATGCCTTCCTCATTCTAAACTCAGTGGCAGCTTTGGGTGCCCAAGGAATGCAGGATTGGCCCTCAATGTATTTTATGTTTTATGCTTTTGGTTGTAAGTCTCCATGAGCCTTAACTCTGCAATAATAAGAAGGGCAACAATAGTATGCTCCATTTTATGCCAATTAAGCACGATCCTTATGCTCCCAGCAAATGGCTCAGGCAGCCCTTGGTTGGGCAGAATTTCTGTGCCCCTCTGTTATGCTGTGTCCATGACAGTGTGCAGTTGGTACTGACAAGGCTGGTGACAGGGCAATGCCTGCATCTGGACTCTCCCCATTACATGCTGCTTAGAGTTCCACTCTCCTGCACTCATGCCCTTTCTCTTTTCTAACAAGAGGATCACACAAGACACATTTGCAACTTCCTTCAATAATCGGACACAAACCCTGTAAAGAAAATTGCACACCTGCTGCATAAAGAATACACCATTGAACCCACTGAAACATGACGTCAGCTAAAAAAATTTGCCTGCACGTGGTGGTGAATCCATTGTCCACTCCCATAGCACAACATAACCTCTCAAAGCAGATGGGCAAATATGCATCATACCATCTTCATGAGCATGTGCCACTTCAGAGTGCCCTCAGGCATTGTAATATATAACCTCCTGGGTCAGACTTACCTATACACACGTGATCATTCATCACTGATGTGGAAGGTGCAACTAGAGGGATCTAGCACCCTTAATTAGAGGAGTGAGGGAGAGCATTACAAAAAACCTCCCAGTCTCCATAAAGAATTGTTAAAATCAATAAACCCGTATCCATAGACATATAGTGAGCCTGCCTTCTCTGTGCCCCTGCAGTGCCAGGCTTGTACCACCTTGGGTGAGCTCTGTGTTAAGGGCTGATATAAAGAGTTGCCCAAAGGGAGCTCTTTCTTTCTACCTACTTACCGACCTACGCACCCAATCAGGCTTCTCTTGTAACATTCTGTTCCCCATCTGCTTGGGAAAAGTTGTTACCTGGTTCTTGGCTCCCCAGCCATTCGGCAGCTCCTTGACTGATGGCTGCAGCACCTCTATCCTGCTGGAACTGCCGCACCCCATGGCAAGACCGTGACCACCTCCTTCTCTTGCTTTGAAGGGCCAGGAGGAGCTCGGCTGTGCATGGTCACTAGGGACTCAGGTAGTTGCCTGGGCCTGTTGCTACAATAAATAACAACACAAAAGGTTTCCTCCTAGAGTTTGGAAGATTGCAGTACACACACATCACCTATGTCCAGGTGATCTCACCTTATGGTGAGAGGGAATCTGGCTTCCCTGTGCCAGCCGCGGGCACTGGAGTGACAACAGCAAGTTTCTGCAGGTCACACAAGGGGGCAGGATGCCTCCAGGCTTTTTAAAGGGAAAAAAAGAGAGACATTTTCATGTAACTTTTTCCCATCCTGCAATTTCTGCCCAGATTCCTCCCATCACCTGTGATTGTCCATCATTTTTAGTAATGGCAAAGGATGCAGAAAATAAATGCCACCCAACCTAGAATTCCAAGGGTCATATTGTGGGTTATGTTACCGTAACTTGTTGGCAAAAGTTCTGCATTTCAGGGAGAGGTAGTGTAGTCCAACAGAAAAGGAGATTAGTGAACACCAAGGATAGAGCTTTCAAATGTATATTGGAAATGCCAAAGAGCCTAATGATTGTTGTTTCTTTCTGTTCTCATCCACAGGGTTAAGTGAGTTTCCAAACGTAAAAGAATACACAGTTCTCGCCTCAAAAAGCTTATATGAGAAAAGGTAACAGAGAAGTGGTAGGGAAGAGAAGTATAACATACAAGTAAAGTGATAAAGGTGATAACCTGCTATGTCTTGGTAAAGCAAAACTAACCTGCTATGTCTTGGTAAAGCAATGTTTTGATAACTCATTGTTTTGTTTGTAAAGCAAGTGTATTATCTCCCAATACCCATAAAGCTGCTATAATCAGCCATTTAGTTTCTTGTGAGCACCGAGAATTTGCTCTTTGTTTTTAAATTTCCTCTCTCTCTTTTTTTTGTGTGTGTGGGGGGGGCATATTTTGATCGCTTACTGAGAGCTAGTGAGGAGATTTTCACTTCTAGAGACCTGGATCACAAAATTAAAAAGGGTCTGTGGGCTTTTTCAGGGTCATATCACAAAACCCACTACAAAGATTTCCATAATTATCTCCTTTAGAACTGAAGTAGCAGGGGCATTCTGGGTAGATGGAACTGCATGGAGATGTTTACATGACACATGCATATGTACTTTGCGCCAGTCAGTGAGGTTAGTCCATATGTGAGGATCAGGTGAACCCCAGAAGTAAAAGAGAATGCCTGCAAACTAAAGTTGCCAATAACTGTGAATCCAGAGACTCCTGAGATGCAATCCCATTTCAAGGACGTTCTCTCACTTCTGATGGCAAATTCTGTTCTCCTTTTATATCAATGTAACTCCATTGGAGATTGGACTTTTGGGGTAGCTTTTGGTTCACAGGGAGTGTATTACTTTTAGTTTTTCCAGCAAATGTTTATAGAATGTATGTGATCATAATATAATATGATTGCAATGTTATTTTTTATTAGTATATTAATTAGCATGAATCACAGTGTGCTATGCAGATCTGGTTGCTTGTTTGCTTTTGTGATTAGGCACTTGCAATGATAACAATGCAGTATCAAAAGATTTTTTAAAAATCCATAAACAATTATTTACTTAATCTTAGCAATAAGCCACAGATCTTTATATTTGCTCTTTCAACAATAAAATAGTAAAGTTTAAGAATAGAAATTGAATGTAAATAACTTAACACAGAAAGCTGATTAAACATAAGTTTATTATATAATCAAAATCAGGAATGCTTTATGAATCATGCTTCTGCATTTTGTAGATCAAGTTATGCTTGATAGTGGTATGTAAAGAGAAAGCGAGATAAATGACAATAGAGAAGAAACAGTGAGTATTTTATATAGGCTGAAACAAATTGTGTTGCAGTTTGCATATGGTCATATTTATGAAGTGAAAAGAACCTTGCTCATTAGTATGTGGACACTTAAAACCTGTTCCTGGAAAGACTTAGGGCTTGTCTTCTCTACCGGGATAAGTTGACCTAAGCTACGTGAATAATGTAGCTGGAGTCAACGTATCTTAGGTCGACTTACCCCAGTGTCTTCACTTTGCTGTGTCAATGGGAGATGCTCTCCAGTCAACTTACCTTACTCTTCTCAGAGAGGTGGAGTACCGGGGTCGAGTAGAAGGTGCTCTGCTGTTGATTTAGCAGGTCTTCACTAGACCCGCTAAATCGACACCTGTTGCATCAATTGCAGCAGCATGGATCTCCCCCATAGTGAAGACAAGCCCGTACACACATACTTAATGCACTCTACTTTGAAGTCAGTATGAGCTGTAGGCTTTCACTAGGGATTGTGCAAATGTTCTTTACATGGTTTGATCCTACACTTATGGAAGTCGATACCAAAGTCCCATTAATTGTCCTGCTCGACTCAACATTGGTGAAGCCTCAGCTGGAGTACTGTATCCAGTTCTGAGCATCACACTTTAGGAAAGGTGTGGACAAATGGGAGAGGGTCTAGAGGAAAGCAAAATAAAAAAAGACAAAAAGTTTAGAAAACCAACCTAAGGAAAGGTTAAAAATACTGTGCACATTCAGTTTTGAGCAAAGAAGACCAAAGGGGAACCTGATGAAAGTCCTCAAATATATTAAGGCCTGTTAATTTGCTAGGATGGTGATCAGTTGTTCTACTTGCCCACTGAAGGTAGGACAAAAAGTAATGGGCTTAATCTGCAGCAAGGGAGATTTAGGAAAGTCTTTCTAACCAGGAGGGTAGTTAAGCTCTGGAATGGGCTTCCAAAGGAAGCTGTTGAATCCCCATCATTGGAGGTTTTTAGGAACAGGTTGGACAAACACCTGTTAAGGACAGTCTAGGTATACTTGGTCCTGCCTCACCACAGGGGACTGGACTTGATGACTTCTCAGGGTCTCTTCCAGTCTTTAATTACAGAATTATAGAAATGTATTAGGCTGGATCACAGTGTATAAATTTAAGCACATGCATAAGTCTTTGCAGGATCAGGGCCTTAAAGCATTCTATAGAGGTGGTTGAAAAATGTGTGTGCATATCGGGACGGAGGGAACAGGAGTTTTCCATAAGGATAAATACAGGATGCCTTCTTTTAAGAAGGTAAGTCCACAGAACAGGAGGGCTCGTGTGAGGTACAGAAGTTGAAACAGAAGAGAGAAAAGAAGAGCAAGGCCAATATTTAGCAGTGAGAGGGGAAAAATGCAAACCACTTCTTTTTTAAAAATCAAAAGCCTTTTTATGGCTTGTCTTGTGAAAATGAAAACAAAAGCCAAATCTGTGGGATGTGAATGTTGGAAAAAGATCACTGCAAAATCAAAAGCAACTTTTTAAGAAATTGCTGGGGTTGAGTGAAGGAAATTGAAATACAGTAGTCAGAGTTATGAACACCTTGAGAATGGAGGTTGTTTGTAACTCTGAAATGTTCGTAACTCTGAACAAAATGTGATGGTTGTTCTTTCAAAAGTTTACAACTGAACATCGACTTAATACAGCTTTGAAACGTTACCATGCAGAAGGAAAAGGCTGCTTTCCCTTAATTTTTAAGGAGTTTACAGTTAACACAGTACTATACTGTATTTGGGGTTTTATTTTTGTCTCTGCTGCTGCCTGATTGTGTACTTCTGGTTCCAAATAAGGTGTGTGGTTGACTGCTCCGTTCATAACTCTGTGGTTCGTAACTCTGAGGTTCTACTGTATGTACTTTATAAACAGTAAACACAATTTCCCAAGCAGTTTAGTGGCTTGCAAGCTGGTTGGACATATTGGACAGGAGTCACGACTTCTCAAATGTATATGACTTTCGCCACCTCTCTCCTCCCATGTGCCCCCCACAAAGTCCCAAACCATATGGGAGAAAAATGGGTGGTGCAAAGATGATGCAAAGATTTGTACATGGGGAGCACTTTGCAGTACACAACAAGTTTTATTGGTCCTGTAAGACCCAAGCACTTTGCTACATGTTCTTCAGCATGTGGCATGTTACCTATTAACTGATTTATGGTGGGGTAGTCTGCCCTCTTATGGGCAGTGGTGCCTAGGGGTCAGCACAACCCTGTCATGTGGCGTGGCCCTTTACGATCTGGGAGGTCTGATATATACAAGGACCTAGGACATACTGGTAGAGAGGAAGCGGTCCTGAGAATAAGTAGTGTGTGTGGAAATCCCACTACTGTTTCTTTAAGGGCCCGGGACCAGGAGCCTCGCAGAGTGAGCAGAGCAAGGTTCCCCTCTCTCCCAGCCAGATGGGATGAGCTACAGGAAGGGGCCCATCAGATATGCTGCCTCCTCCCTCCTAGCAAGAAAAGGCTTATCTGCTGTACCCTCTGAGCGTGCCATTAATTGGGGAAAAGAGGCAGCTGAAGGAGAAGCTTGTTAAGGCCCTACCACTGGCCTAAGTTACAACTCCAGTTGCAGGGAGGAAAGTTGGTGGACTCCTGTCTGAAGGTGAGACAGAGGAACTGCCTAAATTACAACCCCCAGCTCCGAGGAGGAGATCTAGGGGGTGCTATCACGAGAGGGATTGTTTGAAGTACAACTACAAATCAAAGAAGGGGACTGGGAGTCCTCCTGAACAGGGGCAAGAAAAACCTACCTCGATTCTTATATGGACCCAGAATGGGTGTGAACTTGAGCAAGTTACCCTCTGTAGAAAGAATTAATGAACAAGAGCTCCTCTCCTCCCCCTGCCAGCTTTCAGTCCTGCCCTCCTGGGCACCTTGTCGGAAACTGTTCCCCCACACCAGTCCATCTCTTGTCCCATCAGCATTCAAATCAAGCTGCTTCCTTCTCCACGCTCATTGGTGGGAGGTCATTAAGAGCATGGGAGAGACAGGCTCCCTGCTCTCAGATCAGGTGCCTAAAATTTGAAGTCTGGACTGAGCATGTGCAAACTGTGATTTTTTTTTTTTTAACAGGCTTATAACTTGGCCAAATTTGAGTGGATTTTCATGGGCACCAAAAAGCACTTTCTCACAGAAAGGTCATCGTTCTGCCAAATTTTAAAGTGCTAAAGCTTCTTAAAGGAAAGGTCACCAGAATTTTTTAACATTGAGAAAAACATGTATTTTCCCCATTCTTGGTCTTGGAAACAACTGGAACGTTTTGGCTGAATCTTTTCAAAAATCATTAGCCTGAGGCAGACATCTCGTGTGGAAAATTTCAGCCCAAAGGGTTAAAGCTGGGAAAAGTTACACACAACTTAAAACAGCGTTTTACAATGGGAAGTGTCTGGCAACCTCACTACTAGGTGATACTACTGGCTCTGCCTATAATATGCCTGGTTTAAATAGAGTTAAGAGCATCCACGCTGTGGTTTTTGCCCTAATTTGACTAAATCCGTTTTTAAGTGCAGTGCAACATTAAAAATAGACAAGGCCTCAGTCAGCAAGAATGGGGCTCCCTCCCCAACCTCACTTTCTTGGGGGCTCTGAGTCCTATGATCTCTGGGGCCCTCTTACTTACCCTTCCCCTGCCATGTATACAGGAGGCTCGGGAGGGGTTACTGCTAACCTCGGTCATCTGTATCCATGGGATCTAGGGATTGCCAGTTTTGGTTTCACATAGTCCTGGAGGTTTCATCACATGGCATAATCTTTAATTAAAAATTAATCTTTAATTCCAGGAGACTCTCAGACAATCCTGGAGGATTGGCAACCCTCATGGGATCACTGTGGAGGCAGTGGAAAGGACCTAGAGAGACCTAGTCAGCGGCCTGGGGCAGCTAATGAATCCATCTTATTGAGTAGCCAGGTTAAGTCATGCTGGGCTTAACTCCAGGACAGTAAGGGCCTCACAGCTTTAAGGATTTGGCCCAGTGGGCATTAAAGGAATTCTGAACCACCCCAGAGATGCTGAACACCTAACAGGGGTGA